ATATTGATGACACGTATGATGATCCCACTCCAAAGCCCACTGATCATAACTGGAAGAAAGTTGATTCGGTTGTTAAAGGATGGATTTACTCAACCCTTTCCCAAAATACCCTTAATATGATTCTGAAACGAGCATCCTATGCTAGACAAGTTTGTATTATCATCGAACGTCTCTTTCGCGACAATAAAGATTTGAGAGCAATCCAAATTGACATCGAGCTTCAAAATCTCTCCATGGGTGATCTTAGTGTCACTGCCTACTTCACAAAAATCAAGTCTATTGCCGACCTACTGGAGAATCTCGACCCTCAAGCAAAGGTTCCTGATAAAAATCTTGTCATTTATGCCCTTAATGGGTTATCTTCCCGCTTTGATAATGTCGTTGGCATCATCCGTCATCGTATCCCATTCCCATCCTTTGAAGATACCCGCTCAATTTTATTGTCTGAAGAACAACGGATTCTCCTTCATCCACCCCTTCAATCCTCCGCTCATAGTGAACACTCATCTTCCCCATCGCTGCTGCACATTACCACCGACAGCAGCCGCCGTCAGGACCGCCGCCAAGACCACCGGACCTCCCAAAACCGACGACGCCAACAAGGGTCTAACTCCAATGGACCCTCAAATCCACCACAACAGTACTGTTGGGTATACATCCCGCCGCCAGGTTCTTCTCAAATCCCTTGGACTCAACAACATCACCCCAACAATACTCCTTATTGGGCTGCCAACTCACGGCAATAGGCTCCAGGCCTTCTTGGCCCACTTCCTTCATGACCTCACCTACCTGTTGCACAAGCCCATCTAGCTGCCACTTCCTCTGCACCATCCCAACACATAAATGCTCCAATAACACCACCGTGGGCCTGGTTTGGGACTGAACAACAGCCCACAACCCTTCCACAATTATTTAGCTCCATGTCACTTCAAGAGTCGGGCGAATGGGTTATGGGCACGGGTGCAATGGACCACGTTCATGCCAACCAAGGTATACTCCAATCCTTTCTTGATAAGAATACTTGTCATAATATCCTAGTTGGTGACGGGACCAAAATACATGTAATTGCGACCGACCATACCTTATTTCCTATACAAAACAACCATCGTCCTCTTTATCTAAACAATGTCCTCATTACACCTTCAATCATCAAAAATCTAATTTATGTATGCAAATTCACTCATCAAAATAAATGCTCCATTGAATTTGATGAATTTGGTTTTACTGTCAAGGATTACAGGACCCGTCTACCCCTAATCTGATGTGACAGTGATGGTCCGCTCTACCCGGTTCTACCTCAAACTCATCAAGCTCTTTTGTTTGGCACCAACGCCTTGGTCATCCTGGCAGCCATGTTTTGCAATTTTTTTATCCAATAAATTGATTCCATGTAATAAAAACGACTTTACTTCTTTGTGTCATGCTTGTCAAACTGGAAAACATGTCAAACTTCCATTTAGTTCTTCTGATTCTATTGTTTCTCATGCATTTGACATTATACACTCTGATGTGTGGACCTCTCCTATTACTAGTATAAGTGGTTTAAAATATTATGTTATCTTTCTTGACCACTACTCTCACTATCTTTGGGTGTACCCCCTTAAAACAAAAATCTGATGTTTACTCCAAATTTCTTGAATTTTTCACATATATCAAAAACCAATTCAACACCACCATCAAATCCTTCCAATATGATAATTGGGGGGGGGGGGGGGGGGGGGGAATACAACAATAAACAATTTCATGATTTCTTTGCCACACATGGAATCAACTTTCGTTTTTCATGCCCTTATACATCCCAACAAAACGGAAAATCTAAACGTATGCTTCGCTCAATCAATAACATCATTCGTACTCTACTATTCCAAGCCCATCTACCACCCACCTATTGGGTCGAAGCACTCCACATGGCAACTCATCTCTTAAATATTCTACCTTCCACCTCCATTCAAAATGACACACCCATATACCGACTACTCTACAAACATCCCACTTATAATCATCTCAAAACTTTTGGATGTCTTTGTTTCCCTCACATCACCACCTCTCACAAACTATCCCCTAGATTCTTACTGTGTGTGTTTCTTGGATATCCATCTCACCATCGAGGTTTTCGATGTCTCAACCTTAACTCTCGCACCATCATTATATCTCGTCATGTCACCTTTGATGAAAATATCTTTCCTTTCAAATCAGTATCACCAAATGACTCTCCATCCTACTCTTTCCTTGATGACACTTCCGATCCTTCACCATACTTCCGCTCTAAATTATTCCTTCACCCAAACACCACTACACCTGACCCTACCCCCTCAAACCCCCTATGAACCTCCTCTCCTCTCTTCATCTACTTCTCAAACTGAGCACCATCCATCTCATACTGAATCCTCAGATCATAACACCAATATACCTCTTCCTCGTACACATTCCATGACCACTTGATCCTGTAATGGTATCATAAAACCTATCCAAAAGTTAAATCTTTACATCTCTTCTCTCTCCCCTGTCCCCTCATCACTTCTATAGGCTATTAAGGACCCTAACTGGCATCAGGCTATGCTTGATGAGTACAATGCCCTTATCTCAAATAGGACTTGGACCCTTGTCCCCAGACCCCAGGGGGTTAATATTGTCCGGTCTATGTGGCTTTTTCGCCACAAATTTAATGCAGATGGCTCTCTCTCTAGCTACAAATTAAGACATGTAGTGAATGGTCGCAGTCAACAACAAGGCATCGACTGCGATGAGACATTCAGCCCAGTTGTCAAACCGGCCACCATACGCACATTTTTAATAAAATTCCGGCTAGAAGCATACAAGTACTGTAATGTGCCTCTCCGTGGGTATCTGGTAACCATGTATGTAGGGGTAGAATCGGTAATTTGACAGCAAAAGCAATAAAAAATCTAATATAGAATATTATTTCCAAAGCCACAGGATACGATTGATTCACTGATGTTTCAAAATTTAATGTTGGTTCATTAGAACCATATAAACCGACACCCAGAACTCCCATTAAGAGAAAAATGGAACCTCCCACCGTACTTAGCATTGTTGTCTCAAGATACTGGCCGATTCATCAGCTTGATGTAAAGAATGCATTTCTTCACGACCACTTACAGGAAACCGTATATATGTTCCAACCTCCGGGCTTCAAATATACTAAATTTCTTGATCACGTATGTCGTCTTCAGAGATCTATTTATGGTCTCAAGCAGGCTCCTAGGGCATGGTTCCACCGTTTTGCCCATCATGCCACATCCATTGGTTTTCACCACACTTGCACCAACCTGTCATTATTCATTCTTCACTCAGCTGGTGCAACCGCATATTTATTATTGTATGTTGACTACATCATACTGACAACTTCTTCTACGTCTCTCTTGCAGCAAATTATTGCCAAACTTAGCAGTGAGTTTTCCATGATAGATCTTGGACCACTTAACTATTTTTTGGGCATCTCTGCTGTTCGATCTTCCACATGTCTTTTCCTCTCTCAACAGAAGTATGCCTATGAGATTTTGGATCGAGCCAACATGCGAAATTGTAATCCATGTCGGACTCCAACTGAACCACTCCACAAACTCGACGCATCCGACACACCAGTAGCTGACCCTACTTTATTTCGCAGTCTAGTAGGTGCACTTCAGTATCTCACTTTTACCAAACCTGACATTGCTTTCGCAGTTCAACAAATTTGCTTATACATGCATGATTCCCGCGAGCCCCATCTTCAAGCTCTCAAACAGATTCTTCGCTATGTGCGGGGTACTCTTGATCACGGGCTTCAACTATACGTCTCCCCCACTTCATCTCTCGTTGCATACTCTGACGCGGATTGGGGGGGGGGGGGGATGCCCTATAATCAGATGCTCCACATCAGGATACTGTGTATTTCTTGGAGACAACCTCATTTCTTGGTCCTCCAAAAGACAAGGCACCATTTCCAGATCTAGCGTTGAGGCCAAATACCGTGGTGTTGCCAACCCTGTCGCTGAAATCTCGTGGCTCCGGAACCTTCTTCTTGAACTTCGTTGTCCTACGCCACAAGCAACCATTGTATATTGTGACAACGTCAGTGCGGTCTACATGTCAACCAACCTAGTTCAACACCAACGAACGAAACACATCGAAATCGACATTCACTTTGTTCGCGACAAAGTAGCTCTCAGCCACATACGTGTTCTTCATGTTCCATCCGCCTCCCAGTATGCCGACATCTTCACCAAAGATCTACCCACCAGCTTATTCAAAGATTTTCGGTCCAGTTTAAACGTCCGTCATTTCCCTCCGGATCAAACTCCGGGGGGATGTTAGTGTATATTGTATTCGTGTATATCTTAGCCCAATATTAGTTCTATTATAAACGGCCCAACAGCCCCGTACATAATCTATATATTTCCTTGTATTGTATGTTTTCGGCATGGAATGAGAATCAATTTGATTTCCATCTAATAGTAGTTCGTAGAAATGCAGAGCTTGCCAATCTCCAGTGATACATATATTCATGAAAAACTTATCGCAACCCATGAAGACATGCTATAAGTTATTAAAAACTATACATGAAGACATAAAATTTTCTATGTACACATCGATGTATTTAGTGAATATGTTAATGTTATGAATGTAATAGTTTTAGCATCGATGCATTTTGGAAACATACTAATGTTAAGAAAATTTATTCTACCATTTTCATTATAAATTATCTATGATTATGAATCACGAACCATTCAAACCATCGGCGGCGTAGTGCGGGTTTTTTACTAGTCCACAATAAGAGTTTATTGATGAATTAAGTTTGTTAAAGTCAAATAACTTATTGCGTTTAACAACATAATTTTTCATCTTTATTGTAAATTTACAAGCTATATGCATTTTCATAATTTAATCAATATTTTATTCAATTCTATAGTTTTTTTTCATTTGCATTGACTCTAAATAAGCTTTATAAAAACTTAGTATAGCGAAATATATTTCGAGTTTTTAGTTCCGTTTATTCTATTATGCATATATGTGGCACAAAAAAGGTTTAATAAAAAGTTTTACTGATATGAAATGCTGTAAGAAAATGTATATAAAAACGAAGGAAGGTAGATAGCTTGTGTTAACAAATTCAAAATTCGATCCGCGTGAGCAGTAGGAAGTAACGAAACATGGCGGGACCTCATCCATCCAACGGAAGCGAAAACGAGCATCAAGGAAGCATGTCAGTGACGACAACCACCGCCCCTATCGGAAACCACTGGGAAGTTCAATATGCTCGCTTCTTCAAGCGTCCTTCTCTCTCATCTGCCGCCGGTGCCGGTGGTTATCATCCTTCTCTCGTTCCCCAAGTCAAAAGGTCCAAGGGCTCATGGATTTCATCCTTCACTTCTCTCGCCAATCTCAAGTTACTAACCTCCACAAACGATAACTCTGATATTTCTCGCTCCATCATACTAACAGTTACTCTCGTCGACAACGTCATTGTGAGTTATCACTGTTTCAGAGATCTCTTATTTTTTTAGTTCGATAACGGTTTGTACGCCTTATTTGTGCCATTTTAGATCAATTTAGACTCGATTATGATTTTTCTGCAACCGTTTTGCAGTCGATCACAAATCCGCAACACAATTGAGCTATAAATCCTGAAATTATCTCTACTTTGGTTGACAGTTGATTTAATTATAATCATAAACGACTGAACTGTTTGAAATCCTCTGGTTATATGATGTTTTTCTAAATCAGACACGATCGGAAAACTTTTATCTAGGCTGACTATTAGATTCATCTGGTTCGTTCATATACAAAGTTTGCAAGATGTAAAAATCTTCCGCTCCCAACTTAATCAAATACAGAATGCACGTATGTGATTTACTACCAAGTCAAGATCTATCACTTTCTCGTGGAAAATGTTGGTTGTGCAAGCAATCATACAGTTTCCTAGTATATATAATATATAATTCTAGTCTTATTCATCTTATTCATGCCTACTAGATTGATTAATTTCAACTAAACCTTGTTATTACAGATTCATCTCTCTGCTTTCGTTAGACAGTTATTGTACTGTTTGCTTTAAGATATTTCAGATGACTTCAGACAGTATCTATAATTTAAGCAACTGGTCCTGTTAATTCTAGAAATTAGGGATCAACAATAGGCTAGTGCTTCACATTGGAATAATTTGTTTCTTAAGTTACCTGATTACTAATATATCACAATGTACATGTAATTGTTGATTGTTCTTATGCTTATGTTGGTAGCCATTATGACTCTAATCTGTTTTGTATGCATATATATGTACGTCATAAGTTAGTATGCATCTAACACAAGTTTTGATACTGAATCATTTCAGGAGGAGCATTACATTTCAAAGCTACATTTCACCTGGCCTCATGTCTCATGTTTGCCTGGATACCCTCCTAGGGGCAGCAAAATTGTATTCATGAGTTACAAAGATCATGCAGGCGATGTAAGAACCTCAAATTCGCTTGTTTAGTTTCTGTTTTCCTACTTATGCCCTTTGTTCTTCTACTACATCATATCATATTTCACCAAATACCCTTTTCCTTGTTTGCAGATCCAAAAGTTTGCCTTGCGATTTCTCACAAGTGATGAGACTGAAAGATTTATGAATTTCATAAAGGTTCAACCTTTGCCCCTATGCAAACACATCACACATGTAATTATATAAACTTCTCTTTTACAGGATATCTTTGGACATGAGAAGATTGACCGGTCAACTCCTGATATCCCTGAATCCAAAACCCCATCTCAATCTGAGATCGTGCCTTCTCTTCAACCTGTAGAGAGGTGGAAACTAAATACATTCTCTAAGAAGTTATTGACTTTTTGAACAATATAATATGTATATGGATTTTTAACTACTCTTCTTGTGAAAATGCTAGAGATGCCAAAAGGAAGATTGTACTTGGCCTCTGTAGTCCAAATTCGCTATCTAAAAAGTAACTTTTCTTTGTATTTTACTATTTTTCCAAGTTGGAAGGTTTGAAAAGTCAACCCTCACTCTTTTTTCAGGTCAACACAGGAGTGGAGCCCAATAAGCTCTTCTCCAGCCTATAGGTAAGATGAAGAAATATGGAGCAACTCTGTTACAAGTCTCCAATAACATTTCTTTGAGATTATAGCAAAAAAATGTAAGCAAATGATCTGAGATTTTAACTTGTTTATGCAGACCAACACTTGACTGGAGTCCAATAGGGTCAAATGCTGAAACAATATTTAGTCAAAGCTCAAATCCCATGGAAGCCACACTTAGTCAAGATGTTCAAGAAAAGCTTTCAGCCTTTCCTCCTAGCTTCACATCATTATTGACCATGGCAACAACACAAGGAATCCTTACTGAAGATGTCATTCTGAAAAATGAAATCATGGTATTTTGATATTTTCATTCATCCCCTCAATCTTTTCCATCTTATGTTGTGTAATGTCCCTGGTTTTTATATTATTTGTAACAAGCTTGATTCTCTTCCACAGAAATATTTAGAAGACTCTTCCTTCCAAGGTATAAATTACACGTGGTTTTATTTTGTTGCGTATTAAATATTACTTTTAAAATTTTTGGACCAAACCTGAAAAAAAATGTACCACAAGGACTGAGATTGTAAATATTAATTACATGTTGGTTTTATTTGGTGAGAACAGTGATGCTGAGCAAGGTACAGAAGGTGGTAACTGAATTTGAAGACATATTTCCGATGTAAAAAGTAAAAACGAGAGCTACATAGGTACTAATACTAATATCTATCTATATTGATGTTATAGTATCTCAAGTGTTTACTTTTTTTTGTTTTAGAATGAGGCATTTTATATCAGTAAACAATTAACCAAAATTAGTAAAAGGAAAAGAAAAGTAAAAACCATGTTTGCTTGTCTAAAGGCATTTTATATCTAAGGTGTTTTTTCACCTCGTGAAATGTAGTATTCCTCCCTTTTAAAAATAAACGTAGAGTTTAACTAATACGTAATTAAGTAAAAATGTTTGATTATTCATTTAACATTTTTTTAACCAAAGATGTGTTGATTTTTACGTATGATTCTCTTAACTTAAACTTATTTGAGTGTTTACGGTATTTTAAATTTAATTTATTTGTTGCTTAGTAATACCTATACATTCCATATGCTTGGAGCACCATATCTGTCGAAACCTCCACCTACAATGACAAAAGCAAAGCACGACTAATTGCCTGGAAATCCTCACACCATAAACAAAAGAAAGAAAAGGACAAACAATCATGCCAAAATCCACAAGTGTAATCCACAGCCTTAAATTGTAAACATCAACAAAGCGGATTTAACCAAATTTTAGTACAGAAAGTCAGAAACAAACGATTGCATAACACAAAAATGGAAAGAATAAAAGCACAAAAGATAGAGTGCGAATAAACTTCAATATTCATTCTTGCAAACGAACCACAAACTATGGCTTCTCAAAATTCCATTTTTCTTCTCATTATCTTCTTCACCCACATGTTGATGATCCTCACACTTTCTCAAAATCCACCAAATGAAATCCCATTCGCTTGCGTTCAACAATCAACACAATGCAAATCTATACTCTATCAACACAATCCACTCACCAAAAACAATATTTCTTCGTTATATTCAGTGGACATTTCACATATTCAAAACATCACCCATGGAGACCAACACCACCACCTTGTCACAGTCCCGTGTTCTTGCAAAAACGTGAACAACACGGTTGCATACTTTTATGATACGATCTATTCGGTGAAACTAGGCGATATATTATCAGATGTTTCCGATGAATTTTATAGTGGGCAAACTTGGGATGAAGGGACAAGATTTAAAGCTAACATGAATGCCACTATCCACTTATTGTGTGGATGCACAGAAAGCGATTCTCAAATTATGGTCACGTATACTGTACAGAAGATGGATACACTTCCTGATATTGCTAATTTGTTATCGTCTGAAGTGAGTGAGATTGAAAATGTGAATAAAGTTTTGCTTCAGAAACCTGGGTTTATAAAGGTTGGGTGGGTGTTGTATGTTCCGATGTATAAGAACGGAGTTCCACCGTCACCATCACCGTTACCATCAAAGAAAAGTTAGTTTAATTTATTACATATAGATATTAATCTAGAATGATAGTAAAGAGAGGAGCCCGGCGTGATTTACATATTTGATTTCAAAATTATATTCTGATTATTTTTATGGGAATGTTATTGAATGGTTTTATTTTAAAAAATAAAAAATTTCTCTATATTTTGGTGAAGTTACAAAAGGTATGGCAATTAACGTGGAGAGTTCTTGAGTAACACAAAGAAAATGTTTAATTATTTCAAATGCACATGAAGATATCATATACAAGACTTTGGATTTTTTTTTTTTTTTTACTTATAAGTGTTTGTTGGATGTCACAATGAACCATTTAAATTAAAAATCATACAAAACTTCATAAGCCATTCTTTTTAAAATGGCATGCAGATACTTTACTCCTAAACTACATATTTCCTTCCAAATAGGACATGAACCCTCAACATACAACTGAGGAGCACATTTCTACTAACACTTGTTGTTAGGTTACAAGCTACTAAGTACTAAAAATTTCATATTGCAACGGCGTAGTTATTTCCCACAACATACATCTATCAATAATTTTACCATATTATTTTATTCTCGTGCGACACACGATGATACACCTAGTTTTAAGTAGTTACACTATAACTTGCAAAACTTGTTAACATCAATTTCCTGAACTATGTTTATGTCTCTCTACAAGGAAAAAGGGTTGTCGGGACAAATGTCGCATGTATAACTATTTGTGGAGGTAACAATTTGCCTCAAATCGGTTTCGACGAATTTTCAAATATGTCAGATTTGGAAGTCACACATCGCCTCGACATGTCTAGCTGGAATTATTCCACACAAATGTCTCATGGAGCACGGAAACAAACCATGTGGAGGCGACTTGTTGTCAGGATATAGTTCTAATGCCCTTAATTCTATTTTTTTAGATTTTATTTTATTTTATTTGACTATGTTCATACGTAATAACTTAAACGTCACTGTTTAACGTATACTTGTGTATGTGACTTATTGTTTGAATGAAATTTCAATGCCCTAAATCATATACCAGCCTCCATCTTCTTTATTTGAATACATTTCTCATGCTTATGTCTGTCTCAAGTAATTTCAGATATATATTTTTGGTTCCGATTCTATAAGGTATTTTTTGCTCACCTCCTCCTCAATAATGAATAATTTAGTTGTTTAATTATTCCAATGTGTAAATATTTTCTTTTTATAGGCTGCTCTCATCACTAAAGACCTTAAAGCCCATATAGATGCCTAAAATGCATTGACCTACACCAATCACAACTTTATATGTGTGTCACGATAAGCAACATATGGTAGAGGAGGTCAACATCATTTTGTTCATTTTCTATTACTACTTTATCATCAATGTTATCATCGCTCTGCTGTAAAGATGGTTTGATCGTTCAGAATTTCCCGAGTTACTATGGCACTCACTCTAATATAGTGTGTAAGGTGTATACAGACATATATGCACATGAACTTATTGTTGAACATATTTCAGTAATTTTCCAAAAGTAGGCTAATTGTGAAGAGTGAAATGTTGTTGAGTGTGATATGCATGCATTTTTCTTGAAGTTTTGAAACAAAATTTCCCTTCCAGACATTTAAATTAAAATTTGAAGTGTTCCTTCTTTTGGGGGTCACGGGATCATTAGATCTTGTAGCGTGTTAGCAAAAAAAAAGTACGTCTAATAGTGAGTTCTCCCATCCATAAATTATGTTTTTTGTAGTGTGTTCACAAACAAAATTTAAGTTAAAACAGTGTCGTCTTTTTGTTGTGTTAATCAATTAGCATATCATCTAACATATAACATAATCAACAAACCATGGTCTTCATTAGATTTTTGGCTGTGTAGATTGATTAGCATTCACAAGTGTAAACATATGTTTAAACATCCCAAAAACCAATGCTATTTTTTGTTTCATTTTTAAATAACATAACATCCATTCTTAATAAAGTTACAATCATTTATTCATAAACCATTATTCTGAAATAAGAGTTAATAAGTAGATAACGCGAAATCTCAAATCATAATTTGTTGATGTGTGTGTATAGTCCTGTCTTTGTAATTCGATAAATACTTGCAAATATTTGATCTAAAACTATAAGCACAAAGCTTAGTGAATTCCCTAAGTATCAGATACACCAAAACACAAATAAGAACTATGAGTTATCAACAACCCTGGAGACTACCCAAAGTCTTAGTGGGAAACAACATTCCTTGTCGGTTATCAGCAACCCTGGATACTACCCAAAGTATCAGTACACACCGTAACATATATTACAGTAACAACAAATAAGACCCAGTTGGTCAGCATGTATATACTACCACACATGCAAGTATAGTGAAAAGCCTCACCTGAACTACTCAACAAAATCCTAACAGCTACCTCAACATCGAAACACCCAACCAAACTTCCTAAAACCAAACCAAGACCAATCATTAGTCAAATACTGAATTCTACCCATGTTTTCCCAAAAGTTAAACTAGTTAAAAAGTCAACGGTCAGCTTAATCAAAGCCAATGTCATGTTGTGACTCGTGACCATTCCTTGGTCACATTGTGAGAATGAAACGACAAAACAATCACGATTTTGGGCATCATCACATCGTGACACATCCTATGTCACGTCTTGACTTCTGGTCAGAAGACCAAAATCCTCATTAAGTGCTTAATCTCTTCATACCAAGTCCTATAACCTCAGATCTAGTTCCTAAATAGTTTCATAATCGATAAAATTTCCAACTTTATCTATTAGGATGATCCAAACAACCAAGATCTAATCTTTAAGTCTCAAAGGGATCAATAATGCATCTTTCTCAACTAAATCCATTAAGTACAAGTCTCCACCCTTCAGATCCGAATCAACATGATGTATAGTTGAATAAATTTGTCAACTTTATCCATAATAATGTCTAAAGCTTCTAACATCTAAACTTTAATACCTAAAATGACCTAAATGACCAAGATAACTTGCATGGATGAAATGGAATGTAAAAGATCAAAACTTTATTAGTCCAAGAGGTCGAAGAAAACATTCTAAACTTATCAAAAGGTGTTGGAGTCAAGATATGAAACATAAAATGTTCTTGGGATCTTGGATTAAACTTTATTCCTAACTCTCACTCAAAACTCATTAAAATGGACCAAAACACCAAATACACTTAAATCTAAAGATGAAATGAAATAAAGCTTGGAACTTTATAACTTACAAAGCTCTAGAAAGTAGATGACATATGAGATCTTCAATTGCCAAGCTTCAAGGATCAATCTTGCATGAAAACATTTCTCTAAAACTACCAAAAACTCCAAAAATAGATGAGAGAGGAAAGGGGAGGTTCAAATCTTGAAAATGGAGGCTAGGGTTTCTCCCAAGAGGTTCTAGATATGATGGAGGCTAAGAAAATACCATAAAACATGAATCATTACCTTTATATACCTTGAAAACCCTAAAAAATTTATGGGCTTCGGGCTGCACAATTCTCAAACAGTCGTAACTTCTTTGTTTCAACTCTGTTTTTGGCATTTTTTATATGAACAGAAAGGTATTGAGGAGCCCCAAAATTCTATCTAATTACATTTGACTTAAAACACACCGAACTAAAATCCTTAATTCATAAAAAAAGTCTGAAACATCATTTTTCTCATTTTACCCTTTGACTCCAAAACACAAACTATAACATCCAAAAATACAACCCAAAAATTTCATTTTTCATTCAAGAGAAAAACAATATTTAAATCATTGTTCATACAACCCAAATAAAATAAGTATATCAAACATCAAGAAAATTAGAGTGTGTCCCATAAGCAGAATCCATATGGTGTGTGCAATGCAATCACCCCGAGCTCTTCCCCTTGCCACTGAAAGTACTTGAAACATAAAC